CTTATTTCACTCAGCATAATGTGTTCCAGATTCCTCCGTTTTGTTGCAAATGACTGGATTTCGTTGTTTCTTACTGCGGTATAGTATTCTAAAGAATACATATCCCATAATTTCTTTATCCAGTCTACCGTTGATGGGCATTTGGGTTGGTTCCAGGTCTTAGCTATTATGAATTGAGCTGCGATAAACATTAGGGTACAGACCGCCTTTTTGTTTGCCAATTTAAACTCCTTTGGGTAAATTCCAAGGAGTGGGATGGCTGGGTCGAATGGTAGGGTTATCTTCAGGTTTCTGAGGAATCTCCAGACTGACTTCCATAGTGGCTTGACCAGTTTGCATTCCTACCAACAGTGGGTTAGTGTCCCTTTTTCCCCACATCCTCGCCAGCATCTGTTGTTGGTAGATTTCTGCATGTGAGCCATTCTTACTGGGGTGAGGTGAAACCTCATTGTGGTTTTGATTTGCATTTCCCTGATTGCTAATGACCTTGAACCTTTTTTCATGTGCCTGTTGGCCATTTGGATTTCCTCTTTTGAAAAATGTCTATTGAGGTCCTTGGCCCATCTCTTAAGTGGGTTGTTCATTTTGTTTTTGTGGAGTTTCTTGATCTCTTTGTAGATTCTGGTTATTAACCCTTTATCTGTTGCATAGTTTGCAAATATATTTTCTCATTCTGTCGGTTGTCTCTTCACTCTCCTGACTGTTTCTTTTGCAGTGCAGAAACTTCTCAATTTGATGCAATCCCAATAGTTGATTTTGGCTTTGACTGCCTGTGCCTCCCGGGTCTTTTCCAGAAACTCTTTGCCTGTGCCAATATCTTGAAGGGTTTCTCCAATGTTCTCTAGTAACTTGATGGTGTCAGGTCGTAGATTTAGGTCTTTAATCCATGTTGAGTGGATTTTTGTGTAAGGTGTGAGGTAGGGGTCTTCCTTCATGATTCTGCACGTGGAAATCCAAATTTCCCAGCACCATTTATTGAATAGACTGTCCTTACTCCAGGAATTAGTTTTAGATCCTTGATCAAATATAAGTTGGCTGTAGATGTTTGGATTGATTTCTGGTGTTTCAATTCTGTTCCATTGCGTAAGGTATTCCACAGCTATTTCACACAGGGAAGTACAGAGAGGCTGAGGGAAAACTTTGCATGCTGGAGCTAGAGAGCTTGGCAATGCAATGCATATATGAATGGCCTGTGAACAACTACACAGATCAGAGAGCTCCTGGGTGAAGAGGGAGATGAGGTAAGGGTGGGAGGCAGAAGCTGAGTCTCGGAAGTCCCCAGAAACACAGTGTCCCATGGGAAGAGTCAGTCCTCTAGGAGTAGTCAGGTCTGGATTTCTTAACGTATTACAGGGTCCTTACGAATCCTCATGACCACCAAGCATATAGACTGAATGCGGAATGAGTTTCACACATTTAGGTACTGTTTAAAGTGTTCATGTGCCCTCATGTGATTAAAAATCAAATTTTTTCTAATCAATGTTAAATTCATAAAACTTCTGTGTACTCTTTTCTCAAATAATTGTGCAAATACACGAATCATGATATGACAGGGCGCTGAGGAATAAAATGAGGCCTCTTACTTGAAACTTGTGGCAACTCTCTCTCGAGTCCTTTGAGGGCTCCTGAAAATGTAGCAGGTCCACATTTTGAACGGAGAACACTCACTTCCACATAAATGGGAGGATGTGTGCAGGAAGGGTGCCCCATGAGGAGGAAGGGTGCCCCATGAGGAGGACGGGCCTTTGAGAGACTTCCTCTGAGCCTGAAAGCACACGGATGAGACTGTGACGATGGCTGTGTGCGTGGCTGGGCAGGACTCGCAGAGGTGATGCCATTGCAGTGTAAGGTCAGGGAATGTCAGGGCCGACCGCCCGAAAAACGTCACCAAGACACGTCTCTTATGCAAACAGCAAGGGGAAGCTTTATTGATTACCCAGCATGCTGGGACTGTCTGATCATACATGAGCAGAGCAGCCCCGAATAACCAAAGGTTAGGGTTTATAAAGGCAAAAACTGCAAAACCGGGAAGGGGGAGAGAATACACGGTTGCTAAGCGGTTGCTAATATCTTACAATCAGCAATTATGATCTTAAGACATAGACAAATCACATCTTCATTATTAGCTCAGGTAACCCAGGTGTAACCTTTTTATTTTTAAGCTTGAGCAATCATGCTAGGGGGTTTTTGTGCGTTGCCAAGGGTGATGTAGTGTACTGCTATTGTCTGACTATTTGAGATCATAGTTTCAGACCAGAATCTCACGGGGGCCGGAAGGGGGGGGGGGTTGCTTTCCCAGAATGCAGTCTCAAGTGCTCCAAAATGGAGTCCCTACTGTCAAGGTGCTACTTTACTCTTATTTTCACAGCTGCACCAGGAAGGTTTAAACCTGTAAGCTTAAGCTTAACTTTTTACACTCGCACATATACAAGTTTAACTCTTCAGGAACAGGGTCAGGGAACAGCAGGGGTCAATGCTGTGGCATAGGAGCCTAAGCCTCTGCCTGCAGTGCCAGCATCCACATTGGCACTGGTTTGAGTTCCAGCTGTTCCACTTGTAATTCAGCTCCCTGCTGATGCATCTCGGAAAACAGCAGAGAATGGCCCAAGTCCTTGGGCCCCTGAACCCATGTGGGAGACCTGGAGGAGGCTCCTGGCTCCTGGCTTCATATTGACCCAGCTCTGGCGATTGTGGCCATTTGGGGAACAAACCAGCAAATGGAAAACCTTTCTCTCTCTCTATCTCTATCTCTATCTCCATAGCTCTGCCTCTCGAATAAATAAAATCTTTTTAAAAAAGAAATGAAAAAATAGCCAAAGCAAATATAATAGATGGAGTGTAGCCCCTCAAAAGTTATCCATATCCTAGCCGGCGCCGCGGCTCACTAGGCTAATCCTCCGCCTAGCGGCGCCGGCACACCGGGTTCTAGTCCCTGTTGGGGTGCCGGATTCTGTCCCGGTTGCCCCTCTTCCAGGCCAGCTCTCTGCTGTGGCCAGGGAGTGCAGTGGAGGATGGCCCAGGTGCTTGGGCCCTGCACCCACATGGGAGACCAGGAAAAGCACCTGGCTCCTGGCTCCTGCCATCAGATCAGCGCGGTGCGCCGGCCGCAGCGCGCCGGCCACGGCAGCCATTGGAGGGTGAACCAACGGCAAAGGAAAACCTTTCTCTCTGTCTCTTTCTCTCACTGTCCACTCTGCCTGTCAAAAAAAAAAAAAAGTTATCCATATCCTAATGCCTGGAATTTACAGATATTCCCTTACATGACCAAAAAAAAAGAGTTTATGGATATGATTAAGGATTTTGAAATGAGGAGTCTCATCAATGATCCAATGTCCTTTAAATGCAATTCTAAATATTTTAGAAGGTGGCAGAGGAATAGTTAACCCAGGAAAGATGATGGCATAGATTATAATGATGCATCCAAAGACAAGAATGGCCATCAGTTATCAGAAGCTGCAAGCAGTCATGAACATGTCCCACCTAGAGCCTCCAATGGAGTGTGACCCTGATGACAATTTGATTCTGCCACAGTGACACCAATTTGGACTTTGTCTTCCAGGGTTATGGGAGAGTGAGTTGTTTAAAGCAATCAAGTTTATGATACTTTGTGAGAGCATCATGGGAAACTAAGATTAGTATAAAATGTCTCATATTACTTGTTGGGTGGTAGATCCATTAGCCAGGATGGAGTTCATGGAAGGAAGAGTAGATTAAAGATTCTCGGTTTTTATACTTTCCTTCTGGAATGACGGTACAGTGCTTTAGTGAAACTGTCTAGCTGACAGCTGGGTGCTTGTTTATGGGGCCCTTGGCAGAAGTTGAGGGAGAAGGCATTAGCCTAGGATGTGAGTGAGTGATTAGATATTGATTAATTCTCCTACAGGGTAGAGTGAACAAAAGAAAAGCTAGTTCCACCTATGATTGTGAAAAATGTCAAATAGGGGCCGGCACTCTGGCTCAGTGGGTTAAAGCCCTGGCCTGAAGTGCCAGCATCCCATATGGGCGCTGGTTCTGGTCCCGGCTGTGCCTCTTCCGATCCAGTTCTGTGCTGTGGCCTAGGAAAGCAGTGGAGGATGGCCCAAGTCTTTGGGCCTCTGCACCCGCATGGGAGACCAGGAGGAAGCTCCTAGCTCCTAGCTTCGGATCGGCGCAGCTCCGGCCATTGCGGCCATCTGGGGAGTGAATCAGTGGATGGAAGACCTTTCTCTCTGTCTCTACCCCCTCTGTGGCTCTGTCTCTCAAATGAATAAAGTAAATATAAAAAAAGAAAGAAAAAAAGAAAAATGTCAAATAGTTGCCACCAGACATGAATAGGGTCAGACCATAGTGAGGAGGAGGGGACGACCAACAAATTCAATTGCAAGGATGATGAAGACATCACACTACAGCGACTACAGGAAGTAAACAAATGTGATGCCTAGGTCATGTCTAAACCTGGAAGTGATCTTCGTACAAAACCAAAAGAGACATTTTTAGAGAGTTTTATTTAGTTATTTATTTGAAAGGCAAAATGTGAGACAGATAAACAGACAAGGAGGTAGAGATCCAAAATGGCTTCAACATTCAGGAATGGTCCAGGCAAAAGCTAGGAGCCTGGAACACCATCCAGGTGGGTGGCAGGAACACAAGTACTTGGATCATCATCCACTGCTTTCCCAGGTTCACTAGCAGGAAGCTAGATCAGAAGTAGAGCAGCCAAGACTCCAACCTGCACTCGGATATGGGATGGTTTAACTCACTGGACCACAATGCTCGTCCCCAACAGGAACATTTTAATTGCTTTTTACCATCATATTTACTCATTGCCATATGAATGGCATTCTGTGAAATAACACAAGATGACTCCTGACCACATATGTGTTTTTGTGATGCCTGAACCTCAGACACCCATTGGTGTCTCTGCAATTGATCACTACCAACACCAAAAGACCGCTGGATTATTAAAATCACTCTTTACTGAAGACCCAAGACTATGGGGCAATAACAAGACAAACAAAAGTGCGAGATAGTGCAAGATAAGTAATTTATTAAAGCAAGATGTTGAAACCTTTACATTTCCTGTAAAAATCAAAGTATCCTTGAAAGATAGTAGAAAGCAAGACTAAATATTTGCTTCATCGTACGCAGAACATTTAGCCAATACTTTTCCCTGGGAAAAAAAAAAAAAAAGAAGGAAGGGAAGGTTAGTCATGCCACTCATGGAGATAACAGGTTCACACAATCAAGATGGAATTATGCCTCAAAAGCTATTTTCTTTGGAAGGCCAGAGGGAGAAAAAAAAAAGGCGTGTGTGATTAGGCATGGCCCTAGTACAATTATAACAAACCATGCACATTAGAAAGTAGCCTTCCCAAAATCAAACAAATAAACACTGAGATGATCCAAGAGTGTGGCTTAGGTCACTTTGGAAGTAGGAAGGAAGAGCAATGGACACAGCAGTGCAAGAAGTACTTTCTCTGGTGTCTCAGGATTGTGGACTCTTCTTTGTCTTCCAATAGGGAACCCAGGGCTGAGAGACCAGGAGCAGAAATTGGAGGGGACTTTGCAATGCACTGGGTTCAAGAGATTCCCAGCTTCCCAAGGGGGGAATTCTCCTTCACAGCCTATGTTCTTCTCAGTATTGAAACTCCAGCTTCTGAGAGCATTTTCAACTGAACCTCACAGGTAGACAGACTCAAGGATCCCTTTAAAAAGATCTGATTGCTTAATACATAGCACAGATGTTCCAGCTTTGCATGCAACTACGGGAGCTAATACAGTCAGGGTGTCTGCCCACTGGCAGTTATAAGGAAGACAGTTTGAAGGACAAAGGGCAAAGGTGGAACACTGGGAACTAGGAGTGAACTCCTGGCTCTGCAAGAAGCTGGCAGAGAAACCCACCAAGCCGCTACTGGCAGGCGCTGGCTTCAATTCCCTCCTTCCCATCTGTCTCCACGTTTAACTCTCCCCAGGAGATTTCACATTGACTGTGACCTAATTCATCCTCAAGAAAGCTCTCAGGCAGCAATACTTGACCCTTTAGCATCTCTGCCTGGTTCCCCAACTGTCCTCCTCCTCAGGACACCGTGAGGAATGACCCAAAGAGGGAATTCCCCCAGGATGCTGTGTGCACCTGAGTATAATTCAGCAGGCATACTACTAGCATCCATCCTGTGGACTGGGTCCACGGTCAAGATGTAAATGGCACAGTATGTGTTCCCCATACAACAGCCACCTCATTCTTGTCTAAGTTGCTGATCAGAATCTTCCACATGTAAAAAAGAAAGAAATTACCAATATTGTATCTATAAGGAGTAGTTTCCCTAAGGATAACTCATCTACGCATCTCTTCACATTCATCTTTGCTTCAACAGCTTCTGCAGGAGCATTAAATATCTCAATTTGTAACCTGAACAAAACGTCGGAAGCCAGTAAGAAGCCTGTCAATTCAGTAGCAAAGGCTGGGCAGACCGATGAATTGGCTGGAATATGAGAGCAAAAATAGGGGCAAATTTTATTGATAGAATTAATTTTAGAAAAAAGAAATGCTGGTTCTCATAGTTATACTAGTTCTGTTATTACTAGCAAGACTAGAAAACTAGTAGTACTATAGATATATTGAGCGTTGATTGTTCACAAAGCCCATTGAATTGTTCATTATTCAGAGATACAGCAAACGTTTGCTCTTCTTCGTCTGGAAGTCTCCAAATAGCCTTCCAGCTGCAACATTTTATGCATCTGAATTAATGAGTTAGAAGATGTGGACTGGCAATGGTGGCATCAAGGGTTAAGCCACCACCTGCTCTGCCAGCATCCCATGAGAGCTGGTTTGAGTCCTGACTGCTACCCTTCCAATCCAGCTCCCTGCTAATGTACCTTGGAAAGTAGAGGAAGATGGCCCAAGTACCTGGGGCCCTGCCACCCGTATGGGAGACCCAGATAGAGCTCCAGGCTTCAGCTTGGCCCACTGTTTCAGCCATCTGGGGAGTGAACCAATGGATGGCAAATCTCTATCTCTCTCTCCCTCTCTCCCTCTCTCCCTCTCTCCCTCTCTCCCTCTCTCCCTCTCTTTCTCTCTTTCTTTAATTTTGTCTTTCAAATAAATAACTCTTTTTTAAAAAATAAGAAGATGTGGACTCGATTGGCATCCAAACGTCTTTGAGGAGGAGACTATCTGAGAAACACAAATCCTTGCCTGATGTCTACAGCTGGGCTCTTGAAATCGTCTCACTCCATTCTCACAGCTACACATCCTGGTAGCCATAAGCACCAGAGATAAGAAGGGGCTCATGGAAGTTGAGCAGTTGAGCATGTGACTCCAAGTCAAAGGGCTGGCGGGGCAGAATTGAGATTCATGCTCAGGCTTCCCATCACATTGTGCGGCATCGAAAGCACAGACTGCCATCAAAGAGTGAGGCTCCAGGCAGAATTGGTATAACCTATCTGCAGTGCTTTCTCTTGCCAAAGTTCCTAGATGTGGGGGCCAGCATTGTGGTGCAGCAGGTAAAGCCACTGCCTGCAGTGCCAGCATCCCACATGGGCGCTGGTTTGAGTTCCAGCTGCTCCACTTCCGATCCAGCTCTCTACTATGGCCTGGGAAATCAGTAGAAGATGGCCCAAGTCCTTGGGCCCCTGAACCTGCATGGGAAGACCCAGAAGAAGCTCCTGGCTCCTCACTTCAGACCAGTTCAGCCCTAAATGTTGTGGCCATCTGGGGAGTGAATCAGCAGATGGAAGACCCCCTTCTCTCCCTCTCTGCCTTTGCCTATGCCTTTCTGTAACTCTGCCTTTCAAATAAACAAATAAATCTTTTTTAAAAAAAGTTCCTAGATGTTGTAAAACTGATAAAAATGAATCCTTGGCCTTTGGGGAACTACTTCAACAAATTCCAGGAAAAGTTTAGAATTTGGGTCTTTTCCAGATCTCGGGCCCCAATCCAAGTAAGTTTACCTAGTGTTTAGCAAAAAGTAATTAACCAGGGGCTGATGGTAAACTCGGTAGAAATGATACTCACCCTCATAGCAGCAAAGGGCCAGAGTGATCAGCAGGAGAGACACCGACAGCCTCATGGTGGCTTATATTGCTTTGAGCTCTCAGCTTTAGAAGACAGTGAGGGATTTGTCCTCTACTGTAGGAAATGTGGAGCCACAGGAGCCCAGGGCTATTTGTATGTAGTGAGCCTCACTGGCCCTGCCCACAGAGACACTTGGCAGGTCACAAGGCCTGGCTTCCAGTCCTGCCTCACTGAAGGCTGATGCTATCCATCAGTATCACATACCTACTTCTCCTGCCAATAGGACTGGGGCAGAGAGCAGGAGAGAAACCCTGAGAGAATTCTGCTTTGCCCTCAAGGAGAACAGCCAGTGGCCTCTAGAAATGAGTCCTGGAGCTTCACTTTGTGTTGGTGCTTTAATGATTTTTGTTATTTGTGGCAATGCAGTGGCACAATGGGGTTGGACATCAGAACAGACTCTGCGGGCAGATGAAACTGGGGGTCTGCACTTTGGTTATGGGAAGGCAGGTGCCTAACTGCCCACTCTGACCCCCTCTGCCTGCCTGCCTGCCTGTCAATCATGTTTGATCATGATTAAATAAACCCATTTTTTTCATCTACAAAAGGTCTACTATCTGCCTGTATTATAGTACTGATAGATGACTTAGTTTTAGCTGTGCATTGATCAAGGTCAAACAAAGCCTAAGCCTCTTCCATCACCACCATCTCCCTCACTCCCTACCAACACCACCTTAAAACATTGCTGAATACAGCTAGCTTTGGAGACTGTCTTTGGGATAAAAATAACTGCTACCTGTTCTCTACCTGGCCTCTCTCTATGACCTGAGTCAGTCTATGGGTAGAGTCCTCATTATAGGCCTGTTTCAAATTTTCTGTGCACTAAGAGCAATCTTTCCCTGGCAATAACCACCCACATTTCACGGGGCTGATGTGACAACTAAATGACCCATGCTCCTTCCCAGGAAGTGCCTGGTGTGTCAGGAGCCAGGTGAGCATCGGAGCTGTTCAATGTTCATCTGTTTGTGGCTTCCATGCAAGGAACAAGGGGAGTGAAAAGACAGATGAGCAGTGTGGGTGCTCACTACCCCTTACCCCCTTGAGCTCAAGTCTTCCACTTCAAACCTAGCCTTGCTGCCTGGGTCAATCTCATTCTTTGGATGACAAAGTTTTCCCTGCCAGAGCACCACACTCCCCACCTGCCATTCCACTATTGAGCTATCATGTTTTCTGTGAGGAGGAAGAATTGTCTATCATTAGAAACTACCTGCTTACATGAAAATATATTAGGGAGAAGTCACAGCCCTGGGCAGAATCTTCCAATCTTGGCTTTACAATAAAATCACTTGGGAATATTTTTAAAAATACAGATTCCCTGGTCTCCCCCTCTGGAGATTCATCCAACAGGTCTGGAGTCCAGGGCCAGAAACCTGTGCTATTTAAATCTCCTCTAGTGATTGTGTTGGGCAGGAGAACTGAGCACCACTGATAAAGCTCTCTACTAACAAAGATAGTCTCATAATTCAAAGTATACATTTGATTGTTATGTGATGTGACACAAGAATTCAATACTAAAAATTACTTGCCTATTAAAAATTTTTGTAAACATATTTATAAATATGAGTATGCAAACTTTAAAAAGATATTTATTCTCAAATTAGCCTACGCATTTAAATAGCTCCAAACAGAATCTTAATTGAATGGTTGCATGCCTGTTTTGAATTTTTAAGTGCTGTTTGGATCTTTTAAAATTAGAATGCATTCATTGACTGAGGAGAGGGAAGGTGCCCAATCTGGGGGCAAGAGCACCTCGATTCAAGTTCAGTTCTAGTATTTTCCACTAGTAGAATCTTCAAGAAGTTGCCTAAAAAATATCCTACACAACGGATCTCTGTGAGACCCCAGTGGAAAGAAGGGGCCATCAAAGAAGGATGTACTTTTCTCTGAAGGGAAGAGAGAACATCCACTTTGCTTATGACCATGTCCAAATACTGATGGAGTCTATGGTCACAAAAGGCTTCCATAGCCTTGGCAGCTCATGGCAAGAGCCTCAGGTAATCGCTGACATCATAAATGAGAGTGTTATTTGTTAAATGAACAACAGAAGTCACTGTGCACTTACTCCCCATGTAGAATCTCTGTCCTTAATGAGTTGTACTGTGAGAATTAACTGAAAAACTTGTTCTCAAACTGAACTTTATATATGTTGGGGGGGGGCGCAAACTGTTGAAATCTGTACTTAGCATAGAGTTGATCCTCTGTGTATAAAGTTAAACTAAAAATGAACCATAAGGAAGAATGGGATGGGAGAGGGAGTAGGAGGTGGACGGGAGTTGGGGTGAGAGGGTGAGTACGGGAGAAAGAACCACTATATTCCTAAAGCTGTACCTATGAAAAATACATTCATTAAATAAAAGCTTTTAAAAATATATACAGTGACTCTAGAATGCAAAAATTTTTGAAAGTCTCATATATATTACATTTTACAATACAATAAGAAGGCTGTATTCTTTCTCTCTTATGCTACCTCTTGTCAAATTTGTTAGTACATGATTATCCTATTTTCCAAAGTATGGAGCTTAGATTTAAAGATTTCTTTTTTTTTTATCTTTTATTTAATGAATATAAATTTCCAAAGTACGACTCATGGGTTACAATGGCTTCCCCCCCCCAACACTCCCTCCCACCCACAACCCTCCCCTTTCCCACTCCCTCTCCCCTTCCATTCACATCAAGATTCATTTTCGATTATCTTAATATACAGAAGATCAGCTTAGTATACCTTAAGTAAGGATTTCAACAGTTTGCTCCCACACAGAAACATAAAGTGAAAAATAATAGATGATTTTTTTTAAATGATGCTGAAATCAGCTCTGACCTATTGTCATGTTTAATCCCAGTGAGAGTCAAGTTGGGAATTGATAATTTCTTTTTTTTTTTTTTTTACAGAAGATCAGTTTAGTGTACATTAAGTAAAGATTTCAAGCGTTTGCACCCCCATAGAAACACAAAGTGAAATATACTGTTTGAGTACTCGTTATAGCATTAAGCCTCAATGTACAGCACATTAAGGACAGAGATCCTACATGAGGAGTAAGTGCACAGTGACTCCTGTTGTTGACTTTACCAATTGACACTCCTGTCTATGGCATCAGTAATCTCCCTATGCACCAGTCATGAGTTTCTAAGGCTATGGAAGCCCCTTGAGTTCTCCGACTCTTATCTTGTTTAGACAAGGTCATAGTCAAAGTGGAGGTTCTCTCCTCCCTTCAGAGAAAGGCACCTCCCTCTTTGAAGACCTGTTCTTTCCACTGGGATCTCACTCACAGAGATCTTTTTGCCAGAGTGTCTTGGCTTTCCATGCCTGAAATACTCTCATGGGCTTTTCAGCCAGATCCGAGTGCCTTTGGGCTGATTCTGAGGCCAGAGTGCTATTTAGGACATCTGCCATTCTATGAGTCTGCTGAGTATCTCACTTCCCATGTTGGATCACTCTCCCCTTTATTTATTCTATCGGTTAGTGTTAGCAGGTACTAGACTTGTTTATGTGCTCCCTTTGACTCTTAGTCCTTTCATTATGATCAATTGTGAACTGAAATTGATCACTTGGACTAGTGAGATGGCATTGGCACATGCCACCTTGATGGGATTGAACTGGAATCCCCTGGTATGTTTCCAACTCTACCATTTGGGGCAAGTCAGCCCGAGCATGCCCCAAATTATACATCTCTTCCCTCTCTTATTCCCACTCTTATGTTTAACAGGGATCACATTTCAGTTAATTTTCAACACTTAAGGATAACTGTGTGATAATTACAGAATTAAACCAGTCATATTAAGTAGAACAGACAAAAAAATACTAAGAGGGATAATGTATTAAGTTGTCCATTAACAGTCAGGGCTATGCTGATCAAGTCACCATTTCTCATAGTGTCCATTTCACTTCAGGAGGTTTCCTTTTTGGTGTTCAGTCAGTTGTCACCGATCAGGGAGAACATATGGTATTTGTCCCTTTGGGACTGGCTTACTTCACTCAGCATGATGTGTTCCAGATTCCTCCATTTTGTTGCAAATGACTGGATTTCATTGTTTCTTACTGCGGTATAGTATTCTAAAGAGTACATATCCCATAATTTCTTTATCCAGTCTACCGTTGATGGGCATTTAGGTTGGTTCCAGGTCTTGGCTATTGTGAATTGAGCTGCAATAAACATTAGGGTGCAGACCGCTTTTTTGTTTGTCATTTAAATTCCTTTGGGTAAATTCCAAGGAGTGGGATGGCTGGGTCGAACGGTAGGGTTATCTTCAGGTTTCTGAGGAAATCTCCAGACTGATTTCCATAGTGGCTTGACCAGTTTGCATTCCCACCAACAGTGGGTTAGTGTCCCTTTTTCCCCACATCCCTCGCCAGCATCTGTTGTTGGTAGATTTCTGAATGTGAGCCATTCTAACCGGGGTGAGGTGGAACCTCATTGTGGTTTTGATTTGCATTTCTCTGATTGCTAATGACCTTGAACATTTTTTCATGTGCCTGTTGGCCATTTGGATTTCCTCTTTTGAAAAATGTCTATTGAGGTCCTTGGCCCATCTCTTAATTGGGTTGTTGGTTTTGTTTTTGTGGAGTTTCTTGATCTCTTTGTAGATTCTGGTTATTAACCCTTTATCTGTTGCATAGTTTGCAAATATTTTTTCCCATTCTGACGGTTGTCTCTTCACTCTCCTGACTGTTTCTTTTGCAGTACAGAAACTTCTCAATTTGATGCAATCCCAATAGTTGATTTTGGCTTTGACTGCCTGTGCCTCCCGGGTCTTTTTCAGAAACTCTTTGCCTGTGCCAATATCTTGAAGGGTTTCTCCAATGTTCTCTAGTAACTTGATGGTGTCAGGTCGTAGATTTAGGTCTTTAATCCATGTTGAGTGGATTTTTGTGTAAGGTGTAAGGTAGGGGTCTTGCTTCATGCTTCTGCATGTGGAAATCCAATTTTCCCAGCACCATTTATTGAATAGACTGTCCTTGCTTCAGGAATTGGTTTTAGATCCTTGATCAAATATAAGTTGGCTGTAGATGTTTGGGTTGATTTCTGGTGTTTCAATTCTGTACCATTGGTCTATCCATCTGTTTCTGTACCA